AATAGTCCTGTGAAAGCAGTGGCATAAGTTCAGTCACAAGAGGGGATAAATATTTGCCTGCTCATGAATTTGCTCCCCTGCGGCTGCTATCTTGAGACACGTCCTCCAGGGAAACACTATCTTTGCAGGCAGATGAGTTTTTCAGGGCTGCCTCCAAGGACCCCCCGCAGGCCACTTTTGCTGAAAGCGCCTGTTCCCAGATTAAATGTGCGTGGAGACTCTCTCTTCTGTTATGCTCCTGTGTGGGATCCAGGTGGAGGGGCAAGAGGCCAGGAGTGTGGACTGGGAGTCAGGCTCCCACCTCTGTTACTTAGATGCAGCCGTGGTCATTCTCGTGGCTGTGCCAGGGGCTGACTCCGTGAAAGGAAGAACACCTATCTTACAACCTGCCACAGTATTTTGTATCATTCTCTAGTTGCCCTGAATTGTGTGTTTCCTAGTCCCCCAACTCTTGGCAAGCAGATGTATATATATCGTCTTACACACAGTTCCCCTTGAACAGCAGCGCTCCATCCCACAGCACCAGGTCCTTGTTGAGGGTTAACGGCTGGGAGCCAAGGAAGCAGCAACTGCTCCTTCAGAGGTCGGTGCACAGAGGGGAGAAGCCAGAGGACTCAGACACCAGGAATCCTATTTACATTTACAACAGCCGAGGCCAGAACCACGTAGCAATATTAATAGCTTTGGGCTTCAGTCCCAAAATTGCAAAACAAATCAAAACAAAAAAGTCATCTGCTTGGAACCAAACTTTCAACTCTGAAACTATTCTGGAAAATTATTCTGGAATCTTCATTTATTTACACTCCTTTAGCAGTTAAAAAAACAATTCTGGAATTGTTTTTTCTTGTGTGATAGGGAGGAAATAGGGGGGAAAAACCCTTTTAATATTTATTGTAATAAGAATAAAACATAGGAAAGGTCATGAACTTTCTTCATGAAAATTGTCTATAGCTAACAGGAAAAGTACCAAGTATACGCGTATTTGTAGCATGTATCATCTCTTAAAATGTCCCATGGATTTTCCTCTTAAATAATGAAAAGCCATCAGCATTCAACCTCATTAGGTCATCACCAGCAGCTGTTGCAACTCGATCATTCTTTCTGTTAGATCTTTGGGATGTAGGATCTTTGCACTACAGTTTGGGCTACATGCCACCTTTAGCTAGCCACAGCACCTCCCTATTTATAAAGATGAAAGTTATTCTCTTTGTAATAGGAGCCTTTGAATAACCATATTTTTACAAGTGCTCCCATCAATGATTGTTTTAATTCCAAAATGCATTTCACATTTGCCACGTTTTCCCCAATGCAGGGTGTGCCTGGTCTGAAGTCAGGATAAACCGTCGTGCAGTTACCCGTTTTACCCTGGATAATTTTGCCTCCTGGTGGCCCTGGGGTTGAGTCCTGTCTCTGTTTTCCAAAGACATTGGGCTTTGCCTCCATGGCAGAAGGGTCATTGACAAGGTTCCTGGGCCAGAGGAGGCTAGGGCATTAATGGCAGCTGTTGGGGGACAGCTCTTGCCAGGAGCCTAGGTGATGGTAGGAACCTCTTGCCCTGCGTTAGGTTTCTCCTGGGGGCTGTAATCTAGGAAGGCTCAAACATTCGTAAGAAGATAAAGCCATGGGAAAAGCCCCTAAACCAACTTCCTTCCCAGGAAGCAGAAGTAGTGGTGGCTTGGTAAATGCAATGGCATGGGGGTGGTACCACCAAAGCCACAGATTTTCCTCCTGTTTTCCAGGTAGGGTTCAGCTGCAGGGGGGTGTCTCATCCACTCAGGTGTTAGATGTGTAGGCTTGAGAGAAGAGTTGAATGTCTCAGGACTACAGAGAAGACAAAGCTGAATTCTGTCACTGGCGACAAAGGATAGGTATAGGACAAGCCAGGCGAAGGTTGACTGGAGTCTACAGCTCAAGCAAAGATTCCATATGACTGGGGGCAGGTCTTTAAAGGACTGTAACCTCTCTGGATGCAAGCCAGCTCTGCTGTGGAGGTGGGAGAAAGTGGAGGAAATAGACTAGTCTGAGGTCGTTTTTGTTATTCCAATTTTTCATTGCCACTGTGGACTGGTTTGGAGGGCAGCACAAGACAAGTGTCACCGGCTGAGCCTGCCACCCATGGGTGATGCTGGGCAGCACTCAACAGYAGCAGGTCCAACTGTGTGCAGAGCCCAGCCTGCCAGTCTGACCTCCTCACCTCAGGAGTAGTCTGTGCCGGGAGGCCACTTCTGTTCCAAGCAAACACGACGGTTGCACACGACTGGCCTCCTGTCACTTTGGAGAACATCCTTCTAATTGTTTCTGGAGTTCCAGTGTTGAAAGGCCACAAAAGGCTGTCATGGGAAGTACTTTAGGCAATGTCTTGTGGTCCATGTGATAGGAGGAGGGTCAATGTGACTGGAAGTGAGCGAGCAAAGATCTGCGGAAGGCGACAGGGTTAGAGGGTGTCGTGGAAATGCTAGATTCTGTGGGGCCTTGTGGGTGGTGTGGACTTTGGTTTTTATTCTGAGTGAGATGGAAGTTAGAGGCGGGTTTAGGCAGAGGAGTGATGTGACTTGGAGTTTGTAAGGATCACCTTGGCAGACGTAAAAAAAAAAAAAAATAACATAGGGGTCAAAGGTAGCATCCCAGGTAGATGGCTTTTGCAAAAAGCAAAGCAGGAGGGTATGATGGCTTGAACTGGGTTGGTGGTTGGGGAGGTGGTGAGAAGTGGTCAGATTGTAGAGCAAAGGAGATTTGCTCAAGAATTGGATGAAGGATGGAGGGAAAGAGGGAAAGCAAGAAAAACACCAAGGATTTTGGCCTGGCCATTTGGAAGACTAGAAGGAGGAGCTCACAAAGTCAGTGTCAGACATGTTAACAATCAAACGGAGATTCAGGAAGCTGCAGGTGCTCATCCCAGTCTGGGCTCTGTTGTTACAGTACATTGGAAACAAGTGTCCTTGACCGGAACACAAGGTACCTGGCATTCTGCACACTCTGAAGYAGCAACATTGGGAATCAACTAAAAAGTTTTAACATTTTAACTACATTTGCTACAAATACAATCTGGACCACAATATATCTGAGTGATGAAAGAAATTGCTCATGGTGGCCAGGCAGGACCAGGAAGGGCATAGGCTACCCCCCGACCTGGTCTTCCCACTTATGAGCTAACCACAAAGTTTATAAAGATGTGGAAATGAAGGACTCCATAATGACTCTGTGATTCCCTTGGGTTTAAGTTCATTAAGTGAAAGGTACCTGGCCTGAGACCATAGGTGCTTGCCTTGGTAACACTGGGTTAAGTCAGGGAATTTGTCAATTTGTGCATATTTGAGCAGCTACTGGGTACAGGGCCYTGCGACTTCTGAACTAGGGTAATGCCTGGCTTTTTCAATGATGTAGCAAAATTGCAACTGTCCTTAAAGACCCTCAAAGGGACATGACTAAATCATCTTTTGCCAAAGAAATAATTGGGAAGCCCCTCAACATGCACTTCAGTGGGTACTTGCAGAATTTGATGGCAATGAAGAGATATTTTGGGTTAAATAGTTCTCTGGAAAACTGCTGATGGTATTTTAGATACCGAATGCATTTTTACTTTTTAAAGCAAAAGTACAGATTCCTCCCCACCCTCCCCAACAGGCCCAGTTTTATTACTTATCTCTATGCTTGGCTTTTAGTAATTGTACCTTCTGTTCCTGTCATCATGTGACTCTCCAGTGACTGTTACTTTAATTTCAAGGGGGTTCTGATGAGTCTCAATGTAGAAATGTGGGATGATGTTGGTGCTTTGCCCAGAATCTTTAGGTCCTTGTCCTTTTGGCCTGGGTGCTTCCTGTCCAACAGCACAGGCACCACCCTCAAGCTCTGTTGAGTCTGCTTCGCCTGCAGGCTCAGAAGGTGAGGAGTGCCTGAGAATTTGTTCCCTAGGTCCCTCCCAGCCCTCGGCCAATGGCAACAGCTTTGGCAGTAGGAAAGAAAGCCCAGCACCCTGGCCTTACTTAGTGCAGATAACTGGGGTGAGGTGAAGTGGGGTGGGGGGGGGTGGTAACTGACCCCAGCAGGGTGAGGGGAGGTTTGTKGGAGATTCTTGCATCCTTGCTTGGCTCTCTCCCCTTCCCCTTCCTGTTCCCCCCACTCTCTTACTGATCTCTCTTGTGAGCATATCCTTAACTATTCATTTGCATACACCAATCAATCTTCATCTCAGGGTCTGTTTCTGGGGAAACCAATTTAAAAAAAAAAAAAACACATCTTACCACTGTGTTTTCARACTTAGCATCCAAGTGCCCTGGGGCTATAAAGAACTCCCAGGGGCACCATGGGATTTTTTTTAAAGAATTTCAAGAAAAACGCAATGTTATTCAACATCTATCACGTCCATCATGAACTTCTCCAGGTAGCTTCTGATTTTAACATCAGATTGTACGTACTGCCTTCTTTTAGATGGTGCCATGTTTTTCTGAGGCTGGGTTTCCAGTGGGTGCTATGATAAAAGCAAGTGCCTTATGGAACTCAGATGGAAGAAGAAATGAACATGATAGTGTCCAGTCCAGTTCCAAGGCTTGAAAAGTTCTTTGGTGCACACACCCTGTTGATATGTAAATGTGGTTATTAAAAATAAGAATAAATGTTCTCTTAATTTATGTGTATTATTATTTTTTTTTTCAAATGGACACTGTTAGGGCACAAATTCTAATTAAGTTGTACCTAACTAATTCCTGGAAGTTTTAGCTACTTATTTTGGCTGAGAGGTGTCATGCATTATTGAGTCAGTATGAGTCCGTATTGGGGTTTTCTGTTTCATAGTGACAAAGATGATTTACATGTATTTTGCATAAATTTGGGACAAGAGTGCAAGCATCAAAACAGTCTCCACTGAAGACTAAACTTAAAGTAACTGAGTGCTTCTCTCACCTTTAATGTATTCCTTATTTTCCATCATAGCTGTGTGTTGTTATGAACTGTCATTTGGGGTTTTAAACATCAACATGTCCTCTTTTGTTTTCTTCTTTCAGAGAGTGGGTTAATCGAGCCCCATCTATTCATTTTCTGAGAGTGTTAATTTGTCTGAGGCTACTAATGAGGGATCCATGTTATCAGGTGGGTTGGAAAAAATAAAAGTATGTTCTACTTGTTATAAAGGTGAAATGAAAAATGGGTGGGCTTTTCTTTGAAATATTCTGTGTTATTTATCTGCCTATCTATCTATCTATCTATTTATTTATTTTCATCTCTCATAACTCAGTGGCTTCCAAATATGGGAAGTATCTCACCTGCTCTTTACAAAGGTTTAAAAGAACTGATTTCATGGGGACATGAAAATCTATATTTTTCTGCTGTATAATCTATGAGGTTAAATGGATGGAACTCTGGTCTGTTTTCATTGCTACCTGGTATTTTAAACCATTACCAGTTCAAGGAGGTATAGACTTAGCCATACCTTTCAAGCATGTTCAAGGCCAGGCAGCTCACTAGGCCCAAGTCAGTGGTGACAAGTAGGACCTTCTCATGTGGCTGAAGAGACACCATGGGAAAAGAGGGCTGCAGCTTCAGTAGCAGCGGCAGAGATTGCCTGCCCCCCTAGGCTGGGACTCTGAACTAGAGGTGAGCATGGGGCCTCCCCATTGGTCTTAGGAGGGTTCTGAGGTCCTGAATCTTTCCTTTTTATCGCTCATGGTTTCTGATTCAGTAAGCTTGGGTCAGGGTCTGACAATATGCATTTTTATAAGTTCCCAGGTGCTGATGAGGCTGCTGGTCAGGGCACCACAGTTTGAGAAAGCCTCAAGATTGCTTATTAATCATTGTTTCTTCTTGCCAATGTTAACTATCTCAGGAGCATTTTTGTTATTCATGTGTTTATGTACTTTTCATAAGTTTTTTCCCCCCCAAGAAGTATCTTTTCATGCCCCATCCTCCTAAGCTACCAGGAAGCTCAGATTACTCAGATCTTTTATTGTGGATTCCATTTTATTAATGAATTCTTATTTAAATCAGAATATATTTTCTTTCATTACCCTAGTAATCACTTTTCCCCAAATTGGCCTTTCATAAAAGTGTTTTGGTACCAAGGAGCTACAGAGCCTGTTCTGATATGAGTCTTCTGGAATTCATGGTCATCTTTCCTTTAGAGCAATAACCTCATTCCTCATGCGGAATTCTAACCTGACCTTKTGCTGTTATGGTGTAGCTAACCACAACCCTTTGATATGTGGCTCAGCATCCTCCAAATGGCTTTCTGTCCCTGTTGCTCACAGTTTTGTGGGTAGGTAGCATCCTTTCCCCCCATAACCAGCCACACAGAACTGGCTGTTCCATGTGGTTCCAAGCTGCCTTTTGCAATTCTGTGTGGTTTATATGCATATAACAATCAACCATTTGTTCCATTGTTCCTTTTATTTTTTTTTTTATTGCTAAGGATTAAAAATGGGGCCTTGAGCATGCTAAACACCTGTTCAACACTGAGCTACATCGCCAGCCCACATTTGTTCCATTTTGCCTGGATCAGTCTCAGTATGTGCTCATTGCTCCCAGTTCATGAATAATAGCACTCATATAGTTTTACTCTCTGACGTGTCTCAGGTGTCTCAGTTTGGATGAAAACATTCTGTGGGTGATACTAGTGAAAGTATTCAAGAAGGAAGATCCAGTTTTCTGAGTTGTGGAAGTTAGCAAAATATTTACCTTAAGAGAKATTCTGCTTGTTAAGGAAATTGGTCACAATGGAGTCACACTCTGCTGATCTCCCCTCTGAAGTGTCGCCTTTCTTTATCTAGTCCTTGATGGATTAGAAGAGAGTTGATTGCACTACTCTCTAAAGGAAAGTATGCAGTAACTGCTTTGTTTATGAGATTTTGTTACCAAATACATATTATGCTAGCATTCCSGATTGCCAGTCTTCCCATAGAAGGGGACTCTGAGCCTCTCCAGCCTGGCACTCTTCCCACACAGAAGAGCACGTGTTCAGGCAGTTGTGTAACATCTTGAGTTGCCAAGAACTGTTGGCCAAAGTCATAAAGCTATGCTGGGGTTTACTATGACTTATGCTGGTGACTCTCAGCAAGCCTTTGCCATTGCTACCTATTCCTTTCCTCCCTGTTGAATCAAGATTATGGGCTCCATAGTGGCTGTTCCAAGCCATCTTTACTTCTCATGCTTAAACCCTCTCCTTTTTTATTCTTTTCTTCCTTTTTTTTTTTTTTTTTTTTTTTGGTACTGGGGATTGAACTCAGGGGCACTTGCCCACTGAGCCACATCCCCAGCCCTATTTTGCATTTTATTTAGAGACAGGGTCTCCCTGAGTTGCTAGCACCTTGCTTTTGCTGAGGCTGGCTTTGAACTGGTGATCCTCCTGCCTCAGCCTCCTGAGCTGCTAGGATTATTACAAGCATACGCCACTGCACCCAGATGCCCTATCATTCTTATACAGTGACATTGTCATCAGTTTTGCAGAGAAGCCTGAAGCCATCCCACTGGAAGCTCTCTTTATTTTTTCCTTCATGTTGTTTGAAATTTATGGATCATCATGCAACTTTTCTTCCTTCTTATTTCAGAAACAATATTCCCCATTCTTGCTGAGGTTGACCCTTCCACCTCTTCCCTTTCTTATGGCATCAATGACTCCTATTCTACTTTTCCCTTATTTTAAAAATATCCTTTTCTTTACCCAGCTATCCATTCAGGTCTTTTTTTTTTCCCTTTATTACTACKTTTATCAAAACATCAGGTCATATTCCCTGAAAACACTTCCCTTCTACCAGGGCTGATGTGGTTCTTAACTTGCACTTTGAATCCTGTGTACAGGTCTTTCTTTGGAAGCCATTTAATTTCATATCTTTTTTTTTCTTCCCATATWTTTTTATTGGTRCMTTATAGTTGTACAAAATGATGGGATTTGTTGTTACAAATTTGTACATGCACAAATATAACAATATAATTTGCCAGTGTCACCCCCCCACTATTTATCTTCCCTCTCCACCTCCTCCTACCCCAAGGTCCCTTTTCTCTATTGATCTCCCTTTGATTTTCATGAGATCTACCCTCTTTTTCCTTTTAGCGCTCTGGAAGCCATTTGAATAGCTCACAGTGTGCTATGCTTCAGTGCTTAATTCTTGGCTGAGAGATTGCAAACAAGGTAGTCAGAATGAGTAGCCTTCTTTCAGCCCAGACATTCCCTGACCTCTTTTTAGCAGGAGAATACCTTTACCACATGTACTGTTTGCTTGAGATCCTCTAGTTCTTATTTCACATTTTTGGGGGTATTATTTACTTGCTCCTATTTTATTTTATTTTTTATTTTTATTTTCTGAACCCAGGGGCACTTAACCACCAAGCCATATCCCTAGCCACTTTTATATTTTATTTTGAGATAGGGTCTCACTAATTTGCTTAGGGTCTTGCTAAGAGACTAAGGCTGGCTTTGAACTTGTGATCCTCCTACCTCAGCCTCCCATGCCACTGGAATTTCAGGGGTGCACCACCTGCCTTGGCTACTCACTCCTATTTTAAATCTTTGTAAATGTTAACTTTTCACAAAATGTTCTCTTCTCTATCATCTTTATCCACATCTTCTAAGCTTTTGACTTTAGCTATCATTTTTATTGTTATTCTCTGCCCATAATCCTATATTTTTAGTCTTATACTTTTTCCTTGAAGTCCCACACTTCCAGAGTTTTGTTGGTCCACCTCAATGGCACCATAGCAGAGTGGTCCTCACACTGTGGTCTGTGGACAGCTCATGGGTCTCTTGAGACCTTTTCAGGGGTTATACCAGGTSAAAATACTCTTCCAAATGATGCTGTGATTTTATCTGCCCTTTCAGTTTCATTCTCCTACAAGAGYGCCGTGGAATTTTCCAGAGGGTATACAGCATGTGGTGATGTCGTGGATCTGATGGCTGATGGAGCCTGTGCTTGAACAAGCTTAGGCTTTAAAAACAACTTCATTTTTAAAAAAAAATTTTTTTTAAATTAGTTGCTCAAAACATTACAATGATCTTGACATATCCTACATTTGATTCAAGTGGGGTATGAATTCTTTTTTTTCCACGTGTGCAGATTGCAGTATCACATTGGTTTTACAGCCCCATTTATACATACAGCCATATTAGTAAAAACAACTTCTTTTTAATTTCCAAAGTGGTAAATATAAATAGATAGAATCCATATGAACAGCATCCCTGTAATCTCTGTGGGCTCCTCAGAAATTGTTAAGAGTACAAACAGATTCTGAGAACAAAGTTTGAGAACCACTGCTATCCCCAAATATACTCAATAGCTTTTAAAAATGAAACTCTCCAATTCTTCTGCTTTTCCTTGAACCTTCAGAATCCATTTCTGATTCTTTAAACGGCACCGTCTTTCCTTATACCRAGTCCTTCCAGGGCAGGGCACTTAAGAAACATCCCATATATTTCCTTTTGTTCCCTCTCCCTACAAATGTAATTCACCAGGCCTTTCAGAAAGAGTGTTCACTGTCACATCTGGAGAGAGAAGCAAGGGCCGGGCAACTGGGGGACTCAGGTATTAAAATCAAGACCAAAGAATAGGCAGTGGTTTTGAATGGAGGAGCAAAATGGTCATGTGCTGACTCAGGGTCAGAGGCTCACTGCAGTGTGCTCAGCATTCATTGTCTTAGTGGCTGAGCAGGCCTAGGATGAGAGCACCTAATGGGAAATGACCTTTCTCACATGGTTAAACAGCAGTGCTCACCATGCCCATATTGGTACCATGTGCTCTATTTTTTAAAACATGCTATTTRCCATTATGGTGTTATTGAATCTATTAAAAAAAAAAAAAGGAAGTTAGTAGAGTAAGGATGGTTCACATTGACCGAGGACTTCCTCCAAGTTAATAGGCTCAGAGGAACAGAACCTGCTTTTCTGACCTGTGGCCTGTGGTGGTGAGAGACGTTTAGCTCTGAAAGGACACACAGAAGTAGCTGCTGTCATCTAAGCAGACGGTCGTGTTTGCTTTTCCGATCAGTCACCAGAACTGTTAAGCCCAAGGTACATGTATTTTGTCSTCATGGTTCTCTCCAGTTTACACCTTCAGGTTCATGCACTCCATTGGTTGAACCAGACGGAAACCAAGGAGGACCCTGGGCCTGTGAGCTGTCTCCTGGTCTTGCTTCACTCTCTATAGGAGCAGGGAGGAAAAGGGCCCATTTCATTAGATGAAGAACTAGATAAATCCTCAAGTTACACAACAGAATTCTCTAAGAGAGAAAGCCTCTTTCCCCTTTGGGTACTTCATAGCAGCAATTCCCAGACTGTGTTCTACAGGAGTATTGAGTTGGGTGAAAAKAAGTGTTCTGTGGTTATGGAAAACGAAACACCAGCTCTTCCCTTGGAGGCTTACAGTGCATGGGAGCACAGAAAAGGCTTGGGGGAATCCTGAGACAAAAATTTCATTCAACTTTGTTCAGCCTGGCATTTCTCCAGCTAATTTCCCCACAAATCTCCTTACCTATCTACCTACCTGCCTKCCTTCTTTCCTAAACACCTAATTCCTCAACTGCACAAAATAAAATGACTCTTTCCAAGACAGTGTTTGGGACACACTGACTTAGTCCCATCCTGGCAATGTGATTTGGTGCGTAAATATCTTGTCCTGGTAAATGTTCAAAAACCGACAGTGATCATGACCAATCTTTCTGACGTTATCCTCTCCCTTGCTGACGTCCAGCCTTTGGATTTGCATCTCCTTCATATGAATGACTCCCACCTGTCAACCCTTGGCCCYCACCTCACTTTCCACGGCTTGCTGTTCTTTTTTCATCTGGAGAGCTCCTCAGCATTCCCAACACTATTTTCTTCTCTGCAGTCTGTTCCCTCCCTCGGTGTGTCTGTGAGTCATGTTATTGTCCCTAGTCACCCATGCTCAAGTAGGATGATATCTTCTACCTCACTCCTGTTCTTCCAGTCTGTGTTCAGGTGGTTACATCACTTCAAAGACTGTTCCTGCTTCTGTCATTCCCACTGYTCCTGACTCCAGGGCAGGCTCCCAGTCGACACTTGCTCCCTTTCCAGTTCATCTCAAGACTAGAGGAAAGAGCTTGGAGCTGGTTCTTTTATTTATTTGTTTAAAAAATATGTGTATATATATATATATATATATTTTAGTTGTAGATGGAATCAATACCTTTATTTATTTGTTTTTACTTGGTGCTGAGGATCGAACCCAGGGCCTCACACATGCAAGGTGAATGCTCTACCAGCTCAGCCACTGTCCCAGCCCTAGAGCTGTCTCTTGCAGATCTTTTTCTCACACACTTTCACTGGGTCTCATGGTCTTTTATGAAAATGTTGAAACATGGGCTCATTATCTAGAACTTCTCACAAGTTGATCCCACCCTGATTTCCTAACATTTCCTCCAGCAAACTTGTTACAGAGTGAAGGAACTGATTCTATCAGGGTTATGGAACATCTTGATGTTTAAACTTGTTCCTTTTTTTTTTTTTTTTTTTAGTGTGAAAGAGTAGATTTATTCAAGTGAGAAGAAAAGAGCCAGAGTTCCTTCGGTGTGAGAGAGGACCTAATAGGTTGCCACTTAGTCCAGGGGCTTATATAGCTACTGAGTAGATGCACTGATCAATGTCTATGCTAATCAGGTGTTGGAAAAGTTCCAAGGCTGTTGATCAAAAGCCCTGCTAATTAGGTATTGGAAAAGTACCAAAGATATTGGTTAGCCCTTGCGTCTCTATTCCTCACTCAGGTCTGTCCTGCCTCTCTAGGAAAAAGAGTTGGCAGGTATATTTGGAATGTTTCTGGAGGTTAATTTCATGGAGTAGCCTGTTCATTTAGAGAAGCCTATTCTCTTTTGGGTGGTGGTGGGGCCCATTTCCTTAATTGTCTGCCTGCTTGACTATCTATCCTATCTTATTCCTGTCCCCTCATAAAGAAGTGGCTCTAACTGACACTTCTGCCATTATGGAAAGGAGCGATGACCTCTCTGCCTACTTTAAGCTGAAAAAAAGGTGTTGAAAGGAGACCACAGTCAGGGGCCTCCTACGGAGATGGGCATTTCATATTGGGTTTCATCTGCATGGCCATTTGTAGCTTGGGTGTTGTGTACATCAGGCCAGTTCAGAGGTCTCTGGTAGCAGTTGGTGGGTGACTAGGTGAGGTGTACATCAGGTGTGGAATCATGCCTTCCATAGGATCCCAGATGAGCCCCCAAAGGAGAAAACCAGATTTTTCAGCCTCCTCTTCTATAGTGTTGCAGCAGACTCCAGCTGCCTTCCTGTGTCTTCTTTCCATTTTTTTTTTCTTGTACAGGAAATGAACCCAGGGTTTTTAACCCTTGAGCCACATCCTCACCCACCCCCCCTTTTTTTTTTTTTTTTTTTTGTATTTTGAAACAGGATCTCACTAAGTTGCTAAGGCTGCCTTTGAACTTGTGATCCTCCTTCCTCAGCCTCCTGAGTTGCTGGGATTACAGGCATGTGCCTCTGTATTCACCTTTCCCCGTCCCCAGTTCTTGTCTTGTGAATTTCAGGAAAAGTGAACATAGAAGAGTAGGCTTTATTCAAGTGAGAAGAAAAGAGACAAAACTCCTGCAGGGGGAGGGAGAACCCGATGGAGTTGTTCTTAATGTCTTTTCTACACAACTCCTTTGCACCTTTGAACTTACTGTTCTCTTTGMYTGGAGTCTCCTTTATCTTTCTTCCTTCCTCCCTCTCTATTCCACAAGTCTAAGAATGGACACCACCATTCTTAGCAAGTCTTTTCCTCCGTCCTTTCTGTAGGAGACAGTCTTCTCAGTAAATGATGCTTCCCTCCTCTGGGCCACCGTGATCCTTCATGTGTAACTTTTCTTGTAACTTCTAGCTGTTYGTACACCTACTTCATCTTGTCTAAAGCTCAGTGAAGTAGGTCTCATCATGCTCTTCCAGTTCTGTCAGTTAGCAAAGTAGTTTACCTTTCTGAGCCTTATTTTCCTATCTGTAACCTGGGAGGGTTGAACAAACAGCTCAACAGCTTGCCTAAAGCTCTTTCCCAGTCTTGTGTTTTTTTTTGACCTAAGATGATGGCAAAGAATGGGGAGGCAGCTGGCAGTTCTGAATTTATATTCATCCCTTTAATCTACAACCCAACTTTTGTATCTATTAACAATTTGTCTTTAATGAATTATGAATGGCAAACACTGAATTTTCTGTATTTATGGTAGGATGTGGAACTTCAAGAAATAACAGTAGATCTTATTATGACTTAGTAAAAAAGTTACACGTTAAGATATAYTTCCCCACCACCCTCATCCTGTACATGTGTTCTCTCATTTTTATTTTATTAGGAAATACTCCATAACCTGGGTGGGACTGAAAACCTAGCTCAGGTAAGATTCCTCTTRCGGTGGCTGCTCTTGCCTTTTCATTCTGTGCCCTGCTCCAGGCAAGCACCAAATAAGTGTGTGACAGAAAATGATTTTCCTATATTACGCTGCATGTCAGAAGAGCAGGTGGGGTGGGTGAGCATGTGCCTGAGATGTGATACTTGCAGGGCAAGGAGGGACACATGCATGTGGTTCTGTTGAAAGGGCTAATTTTACCCAGCTTATTGAAAGAAAAATTGTCTAAAAAATTAGTGGAATTATAAAAATTCTACTAAAAAGTACATCAAAGAATTCAATTTCTATTTTGCTTATCTTATGTGTCTTTTATATATCTCTTGTATTTGGGTACTAAATTACATGAACTTACTCTGTTAAAAGTCATTTTAAAACTTTGGGAGTTTTCAGAATCTTTAGATGGTTCCTCCCTCAACTTTAAGACATGCCAGAAAAGACTGAGAATCCAGGTCACCTATCTGTAGTTAGTAATGACAAGAAATAGGTGCTGGCAGGCAAGCTAATAGMCTCAGTACTGTACACACCACAGAATAGGAGAAAACATCAAGATGTTCAAAACTCTTTCACCCACAAACATAATCCCTGTGCTCATTAAATGTTAACAGATAAACAATTAAATAAGGAAAATGATCTTGACTTTGTTATTTTTCTGCTTTGATAACTACCAAGGGAGGGTAAGCAGATGAATATATATACTGAGCAATTCAGTGGTTTGGGTTTATTAATATAGTAAAACAAAATTTCCAAGCATATCATTGAGTTGGAACAGCCYAGTCTCCTAAAACCTGTAGTGTGTACAGAAAGAATAATTTGTATAATAAACCCTGCAAACTCATTCTGAATTGCTAATGGAAAATTAAGTTTAATGGCAATATAGAATTAAATTTATTTTATATTATCTCTGGGAAGTTTGATTTTTGTTTAATATTTGCTTTTAAGAATTATAACTGACTAGAGGTCTACCTCATTTAATGAAACAATCTTTCATAAGATTATGTTGTAAGGGATCTTCTTATAATCAGTTATTGACAGTGAGCAATTATCAGACTACCTCATCTTATTCTTACTATTGATATCTGCCTGTATTCTGGTTAGATATAATTTAGGACATTATAAAACATAAAGTTAATGAAATATATGCAGTRTATTATAAAAATCAAATTAAAGGTACATCAAAGAATTAAATTTCTATGTTTCATATATTCTATATCTTATATGTCTTATATGTATCTTGTATTTGGATACTAAATTACACCATGAACTTATTCAGTTACAAGTCATTTTMAACTTTTGAGAGTTTTCAGAATCTTTAGATGGTTCCTCCTTCAACTTTAGGACATGCAAGAAAAGACTAAGAATCCAGAAACACAACCACTTTTTGACCTTGAGTGAAACAGGCCTAGGAGTACCCAGTAGTATTTGGTGAATCTGTTGTGCCACCTAGAGGTCATTTTGAGAACTGCGTGTCTGGTCCCTCACTGTGTGGGTTCTTTCCTGCAGTACATGGAGATGGTTGCGAACCAGTATCTGGGCTACGGAGAAGAGCAGCACAGTGTGGACAAGCTGGTCAACATGACGTGTAAGTGTTGTTGTCAGGGACACGTCAATTTTATGGACTTGCTGTTATAAGCAGTGTGTCGTTTGTAGCAAGAGAAATACATAACCCTGAGCACTTACGAATGTTTTCATTCACAGTTAGGGTGTTGAAAAGTCCACGTCCACTGTTATATTCAGAGTCAAAATAACCCAGAGGGAAGACTTTGAGCTGCAACTTTCATGTTGGAAAGCACCATTTATTTCATGTAAAGAGACTTCCATAGAAGCCAATTTTTAGTAAAAATCTTTTTGCCTTTTTGATTTCTTTTAAAATGTCAAGAGACTTCAGTTTTTAATCTATAAAAGACAGTGATATGAGGACATTGGTCTGTGTGAGGTGTTTACTCGTCACTCAGTCTTCTCTCTGCCRAGGCTGTCCCCTGCTCCACCTCCCTCCCATCCAGGTTTGGCCAGCGGCAGGCCTTCCTGCAGTTGAGGATGCTGGCCCATTTTCTCTGGGTGAGCAGGCTGGTTCTGCTTGTTTGCAGATGGCACACTGACTGGCAGGTGCAGGGGAGAYGGGTCTGTGGCAAGCCCCAAGCACCAGAAAGTTTCTTTGAGCACAGCTGTTTCCCTCAGCTGAGGAACCTCACCAGGCCTATCACTTTGCTGGCCTCCCCTCCCCTCTTCATAAGTTGACATCTCTCTAGGTAGATCTCTGGAACACAGGAATTGCATTGAACTTGTAATGATGTTAAAGAACTCCATCAATCTTAAGCAGTAAGAGAGGTTTGCCTTTTTTTTTGGAATTTCCATATTTCATTATAACCATATTATTATAAAATACATCCTGTTGAGCTTGACAGGTAAAATTCTTGGGGTTAAAAGAATTGTGTTCACATTTGCCCTTTCTCTGCTCGCCCCTCGGTACTGCAGACATGAGTTCTGAGTATKGAGTATTCTGAGTATTGCCTCCTTTAAGTTCCAGATCTCTCTTAGCTTTTGAAAAATTATTTCTTTCCTTCCCAGATATTTTTCAAAAACTCGCAGCCGTCAAAGATCAAAGAGAATGGGTCACCACAAGYGGAGCTCACAAGGTATGTGGGTCCYGAAGGAGTTAATGCTTTGGCTCTGTATGTGACAGCAGTTCACATGGCCAAGGCCAGAGCCTTTGTGGTCAAGTCTCACATCATTCACAATTCATGACTCAAAATTTATGAACCTGTTAACTCAGCCTAAAACTCTTTCTGCCAACCCTTTTGTAGTCTTTACCAGTCTAAGGAGTAAATGTAGACACAGTAATGAAGATTTCCCCATATTCTCTTGTTCTTTTCTCTTTTTCTAGACTCTTTAATAACAAAATTTGTGGCTTAATTTAAGTGTTGCTTAAAATTTTTGCTTGATTTAAATGTTACTTGAAAAAAATCTGGCCACGTATAAATAGCTCCTTGGTGTGTATCTATAAATAATTGAACAAAAATAAGCAAATAAAATGATAAAATGTATGCATATGTGCATATTTATAAATAAATTCTGTATGTCACATAGGTTTTTATTAGTTTGAACCTTATGAATTTACCATTGTCCATAGGTCAGTGGATGAATACAGGCAATTTTGTGCAATCTCCTAAGATGGTATTGTATTACATAGATGCACATTTTAAGATAGGTGAATGCAGGTTTAATCAAAACGAATTAAATTTACATTTGTAGCAAAACTCTTTGGATGGTAGTAGCCTAGAGCCCAGTTTGAATAATCTGCTTAGCTTGTCTAAAATGTGTCAGCAYATGCAGCTTATGGTCTAGGGATGATTCTAGATCATATATAGGTCAACATTTTTATTTTATTTTATTTYTTGTGGTGCTGGGGATTGAACCCAGGGCCTTGTGCATGTGAGGCAAGCACTCACTCTACCAACTGAGCTATATCCCCAGCCCAACATTTTTTATTTCAATACCCATCTGGCATTTTTCATTATTGTCTAAGTAAAACTATAACAAAAAGTAATTTTATTCTACTAAATTTTATTCTACTTAGGATTTGAATAAAATTTTTGAGTTAGCATTAAGGTTATTAAGTGGGCATGCCAAAAATTGTGAAAACGATATCTCTGGGATTGAACTTTGGGAAACAKGTTAGAGACAGAAGAAGTGACAGAAGAAAAGAGGAAGGGATCRTAGAAATAACCATAGCTTCATTTAAAAAAAGAAATCATAAAGGGAGAAATCTGCATAATGGAAGCTAAAAAAATCATTCTTGTAGTCATCGCASAAATTGCARCTCTCTCCTGGAATATGTGTGGGGYGGAAATTTTTTKGGGGTGGGGGCTCTGAATTYTGMAATTGTCRAGAGAAGATAGAAGAATCTGTATTAGTGATCACTGAGGGAAGACAGTTGGCAGGATTCAGAAGGCTTCCAGCTAAGCCATGTTACTTAAGATAATGCCTGAGAGTATGAGTGATGCTATTTCAACATTGGTTAGAAATCTGACATCAAATGGGTAGCATTAATACTTCTTGTTCAGTTTGGGGGGAAAAAATGAAAAGTTTCAACATTCTGCTGAAAAATAATTCCATAATTTGAAAAGTACCTAGCTCCGTGTGTTGCTCAGAGTGACTTCTCCTCATCTGGCTGCAACCAGTATTCTCATTTGTGCTGCTAGCCTCACACTTCTCCCAGAGGAGGGGACAGTGGTGTTGAGCAAAATGCTAGGCACATGAAAATAGAAAGAAGCATGAGAATCAGCTAGTTACCTAAGTTGGTACCTTGCATTTTCTGTGCAAGGAATTTGATATAAGGATCTACTCCCAAGAGTTGCTGGTAAGAAGATGAACTTTTTTTTTCTTTTTCTTTTAAGTACTGGAGATTGAACCCARGGCCACTTAACCATTCTATCCCCAGCCCTTATTTTTATTATTTATTTATTTATTTATTTGTTTGTTTGTTTATCTGCTCTGTTATGTTTTTTGGTATCGAGGATTGAACCTAGGAGGGCTAAATCACTGAGCCACATTCCCAGCCCTTTTTAATATTTTATTCAGAGACAGAGTCTTGCTAGGTTGCTTAGGGCCTCACTAAGTTGCTGAGGCTGGCTTTGAACTTGCAATCCTCCTGCCTCAGCCTCCTGAGTCACTGGGATTACAGGTGTGTACCAACCACCATGACTGGCCAGAACTGGATATTTCAAATGTTTAGCAAAACTCTTTTTAAGGTTAAGCCTCTAGAGTGATCCCTGAAATAAAAAGTTAAAAACTAAAAGAAAGGTTTGCTAGGGAAAAGCACTTTTCATTATTGTCTAAGTAACAAAAAGTAATTTTATTCTACTAATAAAAAATATTTATAAAGACAATTTTATGGAAAAACATTAGTGAATTAAGAAGGAAATGAGTAGCTATAAAATTGCATGGACAGTTTTGCTTAATWGAGTATGCACGTTTTAAAAAACTTAGCAAAAAATAAACACTAAAAATAATGTAAGCCTCTGTGATCCAAGGAAGTACTATAGCGTTCAAGAGCTTGTAGAATTTCTATAGTTACACCATTAAACCTTATATATATWTTTTTTAACTTTTCAGACATTAGTAAATTTACTTGGTGCCCGGGACACTAATGTCCTACTGGGTGCCCTTCTGGCCCTGGCAAGCTTAGCAGAAAGGTAAGTATRTTCTAATATCCTTCCCAGTTCTGCCGTTGGAGTGAGTTAGATGAGAGCAATGCAAAATGGATCAATTGCTTTGTCACCTGCTTAGTTACAATTTCTGAAAAGTAATCATGAAACATTTATATATTGAAGAGGATGGAAAACATCATTTTAAAATTTAAGTTGGAAAGGCAAATTGYTTTTTAAATCTTTCTATTTCTTCCTCACCTACTGGCCACATCTTTTCATTCAACCMTCAGTTACTTTACTCTCAAAATTACCATATTTCTTTGCTAGTTGAATCTCCCTGACCTTCTTTCTCTCTTTATTCTTACCTGTGCATTCATTCATTTTAACATACAGCTCACTTTCAAAAATTCTTGACCTTAAATTTTTTTAAGAACACCTGTCCTCCTACTGATGTCATTGTTTTAAATAAAAGAGCTTTAAATACACTTTTATGCTAGTAAGTGGATCAGTGGCCTTTTTTTGAACAATGTATGATTTCTTTTTCTCTATTCTCTCTTTCTAAGATAATATGAGAGCTAGACTATTAAATTAGTGGGTGTAGTAAAGTTTGTTTTTAATAGTTACTAATCTTTTTAAATCTGTAGTCCAGAATGTAGGGAGAAGATAAGTGAACTCAACGTTGTTGAAAACCTATTGATGATCTTGCATGAATATGACTTGCTTTCCAAAAGGTAGGGTTGCTAATAGTTGGAAAAATTAATGTTTTATATTTGTTTCAAATGCTTGTGATTATTATGTCATAATAGGTGCATTTTAACTGAATATCCTGAGTCAGCTTGGCCATCGCTTTTCTGTTTAAGCTTATATAAAAGAAAATAGTGCAAAGAGTTAGGGTGATTTATCGTTCATCTTGCGTTACTTCTAGATCTGGGCATAGAATACAATTATTCGGTCTTATGTTTAATACTATAATTTCTTATATTTATTTATATAGTTTTTAAGGGAAAGAAGTTCCAAGATGGCTCTATTTTTTAGTGGAATAAATTATTRGACTGCTAAAAGCCAGTTTTCTTAAGGCAAGTAAAGTCAATTGAGATACCAACCAACTTGTTTGGGGAATCACTTGTTATAACTCAGTCTTGAATAAAAGGGGTTTATTTTCWCCTGAGCTGCATTTTGTTCTAAAGGATTTCTCTATCCAGAGAGCAGATAATCTGTGTTTAAACGGAGTTGCAATCTACATCRTTTGATATTTAGTTGAATAGGTCATAATTTTCTAAAGAACCAAGATAGAKAACCAAAATCCCAGGTAATGAAGTCCTGACACTTAACTCATAGTATTTTTTTTTTAATTTCTGCTTCAAATCTGATTGAATATTTTATTTTACAAAAGCATTAAATATAGATAAAAATCTATATGCTTACAAAGTTGCACATCTCAACTTTCTCACCCAGCAAAAACGGTGTCAGACTCCGTTCCAGGTAYTGGAAAACCGAAGATGAATAGGATACACGTGCATAACAGAGGGGAGCGGCAGGGGCTGACGGACAAATCACGAGCTTCATTGCAGCTGGATGCATGGGGTATTTTGGGACGCTGGAGCAGAGATGTCCCAGTGAGACTGAGGGTCCATGCCATGTTTTCTGTAGGGAATAGGAGATATCTAGGCAGAGGGAGAGAGCCAATGAAAATAGAATGTGCTCCAACATGGAGGCATGAAATTGGGTGCATGAACTGGAGCAAAGAAAGGAAAGTGCCAGAAAGCTTGAACAGACAGTTAATAATAAGTAAAGAATGCAGTTGGTTTCTGATCAGAGCTTTCTATATGCCAGGCTGTGCTCTGGGCATTTTTGTGTGTCAGCTCATTTGATCCACACAATAAACCTGTTATTTCCCATATTTCATAGGTGAGGCAACATGACATGTTTATTCAGGTCACGAAGGGCGTTGTGTGCTGAACACTTGTGCTGAATAAAGATGTGGATTTTAGCGTGTGAACATCATAGGGACTCCCAGAAARATTTTAAGTGTGATCACATTAATTTTTTGAAAGATTACTCTGACAGCTATGCATGTGGAGGTAGGGTGGAGTGTGGAATATATATAGCACATTGAGAGCCACTTATAACAAGGAGAGAATGTCTGGTGCAGAAAGTTTGAGAAGGTAAAGAATACTGTTTACCAAAGAACATATGTTCTTAACATCATAGCAAAAAATTTTGGGTGGGAGAGGAGCCATGGAAAATTGGTTTTGGGGAAAGTAATTAGAGCAGTATGTGAAGGAGAATAGGTAGATGACAGAGGCACTTGAGCATTGTCAAGGATCCCACGGATGGGAGAAACAGTACAATTATCTAGTTGGCCTGACTTTCTAGAGACTTAATCCCACAATAGTCCAGGAAATAGGGGACACCAAAAGCTTTTGATCAGCAATGGCAGGGTGTAGAAGGAGAGGTCTGTTGGGTTGGAAAACTGAAAAGATTCTGGTACTGTGAGTCCAGATCAAGAACYGAAGAGGAAGAAGAGATTTAGAGAGGATAATGATTTTGACTTTAGACATAATGTGGTACTTGCAGAACACTTGTGTGCTAAAACTTTTGGGCCATACAAGCAATGCCTGGGCTAGATGTCAATATATGAGGAGTGTTTGTAATCCTGGGAATGAATGATGTCATCCAGGTACAGTGTGTAGAAGGTGAGATTGCAGGACTGTGGATAATTCCATGAACATCTATCATGATAATGTTTTTGTGACTCAGCTGAACCTTTTGTCTTTACCATCATTTTTATTTGATTCTCCAGATAATCACGGAGGACTTTGTACCTAACTTATCTGCACTGTTGATTTTTGACATTTTCTTTCAATGTCTTATTTTTATAACTTCTAGTAAGTTTCTAAAGACTAGAATTAAAGCTATATTTTGTATGTATTATTTTTGGCACTGGGGATTTAACCCAGGGGTACTTTACTACTGAGCTAATTCCCTTTTTATTTTGACACAGGGTCTTGCTGAGTTTCTTAGGGTCTCATGAAGTTGCTGAGGATGGCCTCAGACTTGCCATCCTTCTGTCTTAGCCTCCTGAGTTGCTGGGATAGAATAAGGCTCTTTGTATTTCATCTCCCTTTAGCACAATATAGGTCACATTGTTTCTACTCAGCACCTACTTCTGCCAAAGATGTATAGGCAGACCACTGAGGTTAATTGTATCTTCTTAAAATGAAAGAGTGGTTAGCAGCTCTGACCTGCAGGCTATCTTTGGCCTGCTGCTTACTTTTGTGAATAAAGATTTATTGTACCACAGGCATGCCCATTCACTTTTATGTGTTAACAGTCTATGGCTGCTTCCATGCTGTCTTGGTTTAGAGGAGTAGTTGTGACAGACATGGCATGGCTGGAAAAGCTGAAAGTACTTGACTTTGATCTGGCCAAAATGGGTGTTGAGCTATAACTTAGCAAATGTAAGAGTAGCTGTATGTGGTGGCACGTGCCTGTAATCCCAGCACCTGAGGAGGCTGAGGCAGGAGGATCAAAAGTTTAAAGCCAGCCTTCAGTAGCTCAGTGAGGCCCTGAGCAACTTAGTAATTCCCTGTCTCAAAACTTAAAGTAAAAAAAGAACTGGGATGTGGCTCAGTGGTTAAGCAGCCCTGGGCCCTGGGTTCAATCCCTGGTACCAAAAAAAAAAAAAATAGTAAGAGTTATATTCTATGTGGTGATGAGGTGATAACCTATAGTCGAATGTAGTTTTTAACTCATGATGCTGTGATTCCCTCTTCCCCACCGGCTTTTCAGACTAACTGCAGAGTTACTGCGCCTCCTTTGTGCCGAACCCCAGGTGAAGGARCAGGTGAAGCTCTATGAGGGGATACCTGTTCTCCTCAGTCTGCTCCACTCTGACCACCTGAAGCTACTCTGGAGCGTTGTCTGGATTCTGGTCCAGGTCTGTGAAGACCCCGAGACCAGTGTGGAAATTCGCATCTGGGGAGGCATCAAGCAGCTTCTTCATATTTTACGAGGGTGAGCGTGGGCTTTGGCTTCTTTTGTCCTAAACGTTGAAGGCCTGCAGACCCTGTGACCAGATGACTGTCGGGCATATGCTCACCTTGCTCCCTTCTGCTCTGGAGTTTCTTTGGTCATTTCTTGTTTTCAGAGTCACTTATAGTTGTCACAAGCATCCCCTAAATCCGTGTCAGGGACACTCATCTTTTCGGTTCCTTGGGAACACTGGTGCTATTTATCTTTCCATCAGCAGCCTCCAGTGTGCACCCAGAATGCATCAGTCTGCAGAGGTGGGTTGGGTGGAAGTCTAATAATCGAAGGGAAACATTTGTCTAGCCACCTTTTTCTTGAATCAGTATAAATACTTTGTAGTGCCAACCAATACAGAAATTACTAATATTTTATTAAAATGTTTGTGCATATATATATATATATATATATATATATATATATTATCTGTCTTTCAGGGTTAGAGTGTAGCTCAGTGGTAGGGAGCCTATTTAGCATGTGCAAGGCCCTGGGATTGATCCCCAATAATGCAAACAAATAAACAAACAAATAAACAAACAAATAAATAAAAAAATGTAGTGACATTCTAAGCCATGAGCTTAGAAGGGATGGTTTGTTAAAATAGTTTTAAATTGAACTTCTCTTGATGTATGTTGTAATGTAACTATTGTATTTTATGAATTAAATTTGTTGAAGTACTGAGTAATAATATGCTTTCATACCATCCACTGGAAAATTTTATTACCTAATATTATTATATAGCATAATTCAGCCCCATGAGGGCTGAATTAAAGTTAAAAATAAGCATGGATATRATGTGGTGCAAGTAAACAGAGCCCATTCTAACCAAAGCAGAGTGACTTGCTAATTTTAATATAATTAGATATTGTCAAATCAATGTATTTGGACGTTGGACATGTCATTCCTTGAGGGATACTGTGGAACTTTGCCATACCAACTTTCTTTTCTCTGAGGGAACTTCCTAAAGCATAGAGACAGATGGCAGAGATGCAAGCAGTAGCTTTGTTAATGATTTCTGTTATTATCAGAAATAAAGGGAAAAAATCATAAACTTGACAATCTGCTTCCTTTCGTGAATATCACATAAAACCTTTTAAAGTGTAATGATAAGTTTATAAATAATTATAATTGGCCAAAATAATAACAATTGCCAAGGACATTTTTTGATTGGGTTCCTAAGATGGTAATGGTATATTCTTATTTACTATTGGTCAGTCAACCTATTACAGCAGTTGTGGGTGGTTCTTGGAGAGCAGCTATTTTCTTAGTGATAAAATGAAATTCCATAATAATTAAACTGGGCTTCGCTTCAAAGACAAAAATCTGCCTTTTTCTTACACAGAGTGGARTGTATTTCAGGGCACTGTTTTCTGCATTTGTTCAAGTCATAACTCTCCTTGATAGAAAAGGATTCTTTCATGTCTAAAGAGTCGTTTTCCAGCCTGTGTTGATGATGCTGTGTTAGAAAACTCTTCCCTGSGAAGATGATATATGTTCACTCTTATTCTCCATTGAATATGCCTCGGTGCTCTGGGAGAATTTATTACCCCAGCTGGATAAATAATAGCCTTCCAGAGCTGTGCCAGCCCCTGGGCTGCCTGAGCTGCTAGGAGGGGAGGAGGCTGCCAGGTGTTGGAGGCCTGAGCAGGAACAGGCGTTGTTATGAGAGCAGCTTTCAGGAAACYCATTCATCCCTTTACCTGCAATCTTAGACTCGGAGGTGTGTTCTTGGTCAGGTAGAGCAATTCCTATAATTTGAATTTTAAGATGATCATGTCAAGATCACCAAGTGTGGCTGTCCCTCGACACAGCCCCACCCTCTTCCCCATGTCCACTGAAGGAAGGACGCASGTGGACTCAGATGGCATGGGAAGGAGTCGAGGAGACTCCATCCACGTTATCTCTGAGCACATGGAAGTCCAGAGAGAGCTGGACTTACACAAATAAATGAATGAGAAAAAAAAAAAAGTGCTGATCATATAAAACAAATGGGATCAAAGCTGACAAAAGACAGGCAATCTGTTGTGGAAGTCAGGGATAAGTAAATAGAAAAACAGATGTTTTACCTTATCAAAGGCCATAAATGGAGCATGAATTTATGAAATGAGATTAAAGAAGAGATGAAAGGACAGGGAGACAGGGAAGGGATTACGGAGCTGGGAAAGAAAACAAGGGCTGAAGAACCGTCACAGGACTGAGCAATTAAATAAAGTGCCAGAGAAAACTGGGAGTAGTAAAATGGAGGCCAAGCTTGAAAAAGTCACTTGTCAATTAGAGGAGAAAGACATGGGAGCCAAAGCAGCAGAGAACGGAATTGCCAGCAGAAGATGGGGGTCCAACACGTGGGTCATTGAGTTCTCTGAAGCTGAGAGTAAAATAGAGAGGAAAAAAAAWGTTCAAAGATATAACAGGTGAGAACTTTCCTAAAATAAAGAAGGATTGGGAGTTCACTGAAAAAGAAAACTCAGGATAATCATGACAYGGAGGGGCAGTCAAGTGAGTTGTCTGTGGCAGAATGGAGAGCCACTTGGAGAGTGGGGAAAGGACAGTCTCTTCAGGAGGTAGTGTGGAGTCCGTTCAGTAGCAAGAAAGGGAGGGAGTGGAGAGGAAGGGAAAAAGGAAGGGGTGGAAGAGGAGGGAGAGGAGGCGGGAAGTTAGTTAGACTCATCTCACACTGTACATAGAAGTCAGTCATCATAGAYTGGAAAGTGAATGAGTAAAGATAAAAAGGAGAAAACTTCATGATCTGGGGGAAACTATATTTTTAAACAGGATAAGGAAAGGGCTGACCATGGAGGAAAATTGATCAACGGTCTATGCATTAACATTTCTTTACTTAAAATTTTAAAAATTTGTTTTAATTACTTATCCATGACACTAGAATGCATTTATGCACTTTGATATATCATACATGGATGGGGTATAATTTATCATTTTCTGATGCTACATGTTGTAGACTCACATCGGTTAYACAGTCATATATGTACATAAGGTAATAAAGTCTGTTTCATTCTACTATCCTTCCTATCCCCATATCCCCTCCCCTCCCTTCTCTCCCCTCTACCTAATTTAAAGTACCTCTGTCTTCGCCACCTTATTGTGAATTAGCATCTGCATGTCAGAGAAAACATTCGACCTTTGGTTTTTCGGGATGGCTTATTTCACTTAGCATGATACTCACCAGCKCCATCCATTTACTGCCAAATACCATAATTTCATTCTTCTTTAAAGCCGAGTAATATTTCATTGAGTATATATRCCACATTTTCTTTATCCATTCATCTATTGAAGGACACCTAGGTGGGTTCCATAGTTTAGCTACTGTGAATTGAACTGCTATAAACATTGACGTGGCTGCCTCACTATAGTCCTTTGGACATAAACTGAGGAGTGGGACAGCTGGGTCAAATGGTGGTTCCATTCTGAGTTTTCTGAGAAATCTCCATACTGCTTTCCAAAGCGGTTGCACCAATTTGCAGTCTCACCAGCCATGTATGAGTGTTCTTTTTCCTGCACATCCTCACCAATATATCATTTCTTTTTCAGAGACAGAAATTTTGTTTCTGATCGTTCCTCCATTGGGAGCCTGTCTAGTGCAAATGCCGCCGGCCGAATCCAGCAGCTTCACCTGTCAGAAGATTTGAGTCCTAGGGAAATACAAGAAAATACTTTCTCTCTTCAAGCAGGTATATATGTTATAGTCCTTTGTTTTATTATTTGACACTGTATAATTTGTTCCGTTGCATTCTTCTTCCCTGTTATAAATTAGTGTGGTGGTGTTCATTGGACACCGTTTTTAAGTTTACAAACTCGTGACGTTAAATCCACGAGGATGCCAGAAACTTCTTGGTACTGRTGTTGGACTTGCGGATTAATGATCAAACAAACTTTCCTCTCGCTTCCACATTCTGAACTCAGTGAGAAGAAAATACAGAAGTTCAAAAGAGAATACTAACTTCGTTACTTGTAAAACTGAATTAAAGAGCGCAGCTTGATCGGTGGCCAGAAAGCCAAACTTCCTGTAATTTTCTAAATCTTGACACGCTCTACCTAAGAGGAGAATCTTACATTGCACACACCTGTCACACCAAGTGCAAGGGAGGGTCTCCTTCCACATCATGAGCTCGGACAGACAGAGAAAGATGCTGCTCTGGGTGGGATTTCCACATGAAAGCAGGAGCAGCAGTGCAGGGACCCATCCTGGCAGAGCCACCTTGGAGAGTCATGGTCTCTGCCCTGCAGAGGGGCGCCTGGCCTTTGGGATGAATGGGCTTCAAATCAGCCCACAGGAAGGGAGCAGTGAGGCCCCATGTGTTTTATCAAGAGGATGGAGAGAGCCTAGGAGCGGAAGAGCACAGGTGGCTGAGGGTGGAAGGAGGGTGATGGGGCAGGAGGGAGCCTGCAGACTGTCTTTGTTTCCTATAGTTTCCTTCTAGAGAATGGAGATGTTTCCTTACAGAAATAGGAAGACAGGGAAGTAAGAGTCCACTTCCACTTGCTATTTCTGCTTCATCTAAAAGGCCTGTCTCCATGGAAGAGCTCTTGTGTGTGTGTATGTGTCGGGGGTTTCTCTCCAAGAGTGGGTGAGGTCAGTGGTGGTGGAAGTCAGAAGAGTGGTTACCTATGTATGGGATCACAGGAGGGTTAACTTCTAGGAAGGAGCACGGGGGACTTCTGGGGGCTAGAAATAGCCTGCGTATTCATCGGGGCGGTACAGGGTAAATAGGTATGTCCTATCTCATTAAGCTACATGCTTACTTTACGGAGCTTATTTTATGCTGAAATGTAAAAGGGAAAACTAAATAAAAATTAAAAGCAAGCCATTAAGAGTAGAGTCTGAGTTTTCACTGCACCCACTTTTATGGCCATGTGGCCTCSGTGGCCTCGGGCAGTTTCCTTGACCTCCCGGACTGCAGTTTAGCTCTTGTAAAATGCAGACTTTTTTGAGAATGGTGTAAGGACCTAGGTGAGGTCCCTAGCACAGTGCTGGACCAACGCCAAGGGCTCGCGACAATGGTATTCTCTATCAGTGGAGTCCAGGAGACCTCTGGGAGGACAAGTATCTCAGCGGAGAAGGCCACCAGCAGCTGCCACAGAGGCTGCAGGGAGGCAGAAAGTGTACTGCTCAGCGCCTGGGGGTGAGCATCTGACTGATGGGAACCAGACCCCTGGCCCCTTCCATTTGCTGGTTGTGCATTCTAGTCTACTCACCTCTCGGAACCAGTTTTCCCATTCATAAGACTGGTGATCATTGTGCATATCCAGACTATAAGGATCAGTTTGGATGATCCATTTAAAGCATTCATTCATTTATCATCCACTATACTCGTATTTATTGAGTACCTGTTAAAGGGCCAGGCACATGTTGAGTGCTAGGATCATAATGAACCAGACAGATGCAAACCCCTGCCTTCTTGTATACAGTAGGTGTTCCATAAAAGGTTGCTGTGGGCCGTATGCGCACATGAATAACAAGAGGGAAGAGCGAGAAGCCACTGAGCTGACTTCCTTCTTCCAGAACTGTGCCAGAACGAGAATTAGTGTTTCTTGAGGAGTGACTTGGCTCTCAGAGCCCCCTGCCAGTCAGGRTACTGATGACTCTGTGTTCATCATGGTGACGGACACTGTGGTCTGCTTCCTCTCGTTCCAGCCTGCTGTGCTGCCCTCACTGAGCTGGCCCTCRATGACACCAACGCCCACCAGGTGGTCCAGGTGAGAGCACTGCTTCCCATGTCACATCAACCCAACTTCTGCTGCAGTTTGTACCCCATGGGTTATATGGTTTTAAATGCTTTRATATTTCTTATTTACTTTGTAGAATTCTCTTTTGCATTTCTCTTCTTCCTCCTTTAACTCAGTTGAACACAGAAGGACTGCCRTGCGATCAATTGACATTGTTTCTTCCTATGTTAGGTGCTGTCCTTTTCATTTTMCYTTTYTTTTTTTTAAAAAAAATGATTTTGCATTGTTTTAAATATGGGCACACAGGATACYCTGAGTTAAGGATAACACTTGTTTTAAGTAAGAATGCATCAGGTTATTCAGTGAAAGGTGATTGAGGCACACCAAACAATATTTACTGTCAGTGAGCTGATTTCACAAAGTAGAATACATTAATTAATCCATCACACAAACAGTTATATGAGTGGGTGTCAATAAGTCAATAAGCAAACATATACACAAATACACTCCACTCTGGTGTTCAACCTGAATGTGCATCTCTATTTTGAAAGTTACCTCCTATTATTGAATTTTAAAGAGGAAACATTTTTGGAACAGGGGGAAGTCAATACCAACATGTCCAACTTCCACTTCAAAATATMAAAAGTCACTAAGGGGTCAGATTAAAGTTCCCAAGGGAAGCTCAGTGAATCCAGGGAAGTTGGTGGAGCAGGGCATTTGGAGTTGGCCGGGTTAGGGTTCAGTTCCTGGCATCATTACTTGCTGGCTTGGCTCCTGGAAAAAATGACTTCTCTCAAGTTTTGGTTTTCTCATGTATTAAAGAAGGAACATTAAAGAAGAACCTACAGAATAGCTATAAAGATTAGTGAGGCAGGTAAAGCTCTTCACAGTTATAAATGCCCATACTTAGTAAAAATCACCAAACTATATAGGTAGTAGATAACCAAAAACTAGCAATAGGTGAATACTTTTTGTTCATCCCTCCATGTATATGCTTGTATTAAACCGAGTCTAGAAAGATGATACCTGTGTTTTCATAGCTAACTTTTGTTTTCTTTGTAAAAATGTTTTTCTTGTTTCTTTGACTTTTTTCTCTTTCTTTAAGAGAACACCTATACATGTTCCTTTCTTATCAAAACTATAAAAGGAAAAATCATARTTCATAGTTATGTATTTAAAATTAAAGTTATAAAGATGGTTGGATCCCTTTATTCTGTCCCTTATAAATCTCCCATTCTTTGTTTTAAAAATATGTCAATTAGTTAAAATTTAGACATTTTATAAATCATAATCTCAACTCTTTACAGACACTTGAACATTTAAGATTGTGTTTATAGCCTTTTGTGTTGAAAAGTACAGTATCACTTTTTAGTATTGTTCTTTGTATCTTTTGAAAGTCCTGAAATTATACTAACATTACTTTTTCTAAATATTAAGTTTTGAGAAATTGCTTCTTTAAGCTTTGTATCTCGTGGCATTGCCAGTGGTCACTGATAACATGGCCCTTTTATATCTGCAGGAAAATGGTGTTTATACAATAGCAAAATTAATTTTACCAAATAAGCAAAAGAATGCAGCAAAAACTAATCTGTTACAGGTAAGCAACGTATCTATTGTTTTTAACATCATGATTGGATCTGGGAAAACTTTAATGAAATAATCTATGATTTTTAGGACTTTTAAAGTTAATGCTAGCCCCATTACTGTGAGGAGAAATATCTGGTGTCAGAGGCTGGCATGGAAACCAATAATAGCAAAACAATGTAAAAGGCTTAGCTGTGGTTTCTCTGTGTGGGAGAACTAGAAGGTTTACTTAAGTGTTTCTTTGCTAATGAGTAAGTGCTATTTTTTTTAATTCATTGCTTATATATCAGAACATAGCAACAGAGGAAAATTTTTTGTCGACTTTAAACATGGACCTGAGTCACTAACATTTCACCTTTAAAAAGGAAAGCYGGTAAAAGGGATTGTGATGGATGAGAAAGACTCACCAAGTGGATAAGAAATACATACTGGTTGGGGCTTCAGTGGCATCTACTACTGCATGGAAGGGCACTGCATGCAGAGGAACAGAAGGAGCAAATCAGGGAATCCCAGGAGCTTAGACAGTGCTTGGGGAAGAGTGGACTACTGAGTACTTGAGATGCAGAATGCCCCAGGAGTCGAGGACTCAATGGTGAGAATGGGGCATATTTATGCAGGGCCCTATGTGCTTTTCTGAAGAGTGGGCACCTGGAGGAAGTGTCCCTGAATGACACAGGAATGACAGAAATCAGATTTAAGGTTAGCCTTTGCAGTAGTTACAGCTCATATATTTTTTTTCTAGTCATTGAAAAAGGGAGGCCGGGCACGGTGGCATATGCTTATAACACCGGCAACTCAGGAGGCCGATGCAGGGGGATCACAAGTTCAAGGCCAGCCTCAGCAACTTAGTGAGGACCTATTCAACTTAATGAGAACCTGTTCCAAAATAAAAAAGGCTGGCGACKTAGCTCAGTGGAAAAGTATCCCTGGGTTTGGTCCCCATTATGATAAAAATAAATAAGTAAATAAATAAATAAAAATAGGAAGAAAGTAAAATCAACCTCAATGATACATATTTGAGGAGATAATGTTTAACTGATTTAAACATGAGYGATATATACATGTGTTGCCACATCACATGGTACCCCACAGGTRTGTACAATTTTCATGGTTATGTGAATCAGTTAAGAAAATAAAAATATTAAAAAATAAATGCCCCCAACCATCTCATCGAGAAAGATGGCCAAACGCAGCAGAGACCCTGGTGGCATCTGTGTGGCTGGCATGGAGGGGTTTTTGGAGAGCTGCCATCGAGAATTCACGGATATAGGGACTTGATTTCTTCAGTGCACCACAGATGTATGACACTGTCCTGGAAAATACACAAAGTCAAATCCATTCTGCAGATGTGTTTTGTTAAACCAGAAGAGGGTTTTGGAAATTCCAGCTTTGGAGCTGGTCTCCAGGAGCACCTGTTTGTCCCCTTTCTTACATCCCTACAACTCTCTCCCTGGGTCCTTCAGGTCATTTTTTGCTGACCACTTGGCCCCTCACTGACCCGCAGGTGCACCGCAGGCTGGGGGCCCTCTCTTTCTTTCTCAGCACTGCAAAATGTCCCATGTTTATTTTTTCTTAGTGAAACCCTCGCAGGCCTCTTTCTGAGTGTTCTAGGGAGTTGCTGCTGATTGTTCTATTTGGGGAACCGCTTAAGACTCTTTTACTCCAGAGACCAATTTGTCAAGTCTGAGTCCAGTGTGCCTGGGGCTATTTTTATATGTCATCATCGCTAGTGTTTATTTTCTCACAGAAACCATATAAATATTGAGGCATTCGTAGCAGGCTAGAAACAAAATAAACCTCGCGCTCCTGGAAATCTCTGGATGTTTGGTTTTCTCAGCACAGGAACAGTATTTCTCGTCTCTGGGCTYGTTTTGTACTTTCGAGAAAGAAATCAATGGCAACTACTGGGTAAAACAAGACCAGGATCCCTAGAGTAGTGACACAGCAACACCCTTTAAACAGGAGAAGGGCCCCAGGGTGGGTGGCTTGTTTTCAGTCATAAGCGTGGGCCCTTCACTTGGGCCCCCCTCTCTGGTTTCCTTCTGGAAAGTTCTGTCCCTGAGAATGTTTTGATTTGTTGCAATGCCCTTTAAGAATCACATTCCCTTTTTTTCCCCCCTAGTGTTATGCTTTCAGAGCCTTGAGGTTTCTCTTCAGTATGGAAAGAAACAGACCACTCTTTAAAAGGTATGAGCTTGGAGACGTGTAAGCCATCGCCAGGTTTAACAGACCGTTGAACGGGAGTGTTTTCACATGCCTGATTCAAATGCAGCAGTAAGAAGCACGGAGCTGTGTGCCTGCCACGGGTCTTCAGATTTCTTAGACCCCAGAGATACCCCCGAGCCACTGTGGGGATATCTCCATGCTGATGATTCATACCAAACAGCCKTGTATCATGGCCACTCCTCTTAATCACGTGTGGCTCTCGTGGTTTTAGGCTTCTTAAAATTAAAAATGTTAAAATCTTAAACAGATGGCTTAAAAAATATGTACTTGTTCCTGCCCTGTCAGAAATTCTCCAGTTAGTCTGATGATTCCCCCTCCATCGATAGACCAGCCAATCATTTGTCTGGATGTCCTCGATAGGACAGGAGCTCATTGGGAGGAGAGGGGGCTGGATGTTTGGGACCTGGGAGTCTGTGCTGGTGAGACCGGAAYCCCTGTCTTGGGAGGCAAACACCTGTTACCTACATGTGTGGTCTACATACCACTTATTTGGATGGATTTGCCAGAATCAGGAACCCACATTCTCACTAGAATTTTGTTTGATAAGCCGTGAGTTAATGTAGATCAGAAATCATGGCACATTTTTATGTTGCTACTCTATTTCCCTATCATATTTGAATTTAGAGGAAAAGGGAGCAAAATTAGTTATTCATTATAACTTTCCACTTAACCTTTCCAACAAACCACCCCTTTTAGTGAACATAAAAAAACCTTTTAAGAAGCCTTTGAAACCAGTGTTTTGGAAACCATGCATAATTTTCTCTATTTTTTTTTGTTTACAGGTCTTTTTATTTTCATAAAACTTAAAAGAATGAAGCTAGTGTTTACCTCCTAGAGTTAACATGAGGGCTGAATCAAATGGCATTTATGAAAGTGCTCAGCACTTAATAAACACCCAATAAATATTACTTTCTAGTATGGTTAATATCTGTACCCCAAATATATTATRCAGTATTATGTGTATCATGTCTATTTTTTTTTAATTTCTGTAAAATCTTGTAATGTGACATCTTCCCTCTTAACAAAAATTTAAGTGTATAGTCCTGTGTTGTTAACTATAAGCCTGATGTTGTACAGCAGATCTCTAGATCTTTTCTATGTTTTCTCTTAATCTTTGAATAATACAGCCCATCTAGTGTAATTTTGTGAGATAAGTCGGAGAGTGTTATTCCCTCAACTTTGACAGCCTGAGGAAGTTACGTGTGTTTCACGTGGTTAATCTGTGAGCACATCTAAAACGGAAGGCCTGACAAACAGTTCCCCCTTTGTGTGTTAAGCTTACGTGTGTGTGTGTGTGTGTGTGTGTGTTTTCCCTGCAGACTTTTCCCCACCGACTTGTTTGAGATGTTCATTGACATAGGACATTATGTTCGTGACATCAGTGCTTACGGAGAATTGGTATCCAAGTTGAATTTATTAGTGGTGAGTCCCCCGAGTTTTAAATGTTTTTGAAAGCTGCTCTGTGGTCAGGGTAGAATTTGTCACCGCGACCCATTTCCTTTTTTTTTTTTTTGGTTAGGAGGATGAACTGAAGCAAATAGCTGAAAATATTGAGAGCATTAATCAAAACAAAGCTCCTTCGAAATACATAGGCAACTATGCAATTTTGGATCATCTTGGAAGTGGAGCCTTTGGCTGTGTGTACAAGGTGACTTTGCCCTTGGGGAACTGCCTTTGTAATATTCCTGATCAAACCAGATGTTACACTTGCATCCCATACCCTACTTAGTTGGAGTCCTTGTCACTGAAAGACACTGAAGAAAGACATAGAAAATTAGGACGTTAACAGGCAGAGTTAGCTGCGCTGACATCTTAGCTCTCAGCTCTAGCAATGGGCCACTGACTCTAGAAAGACATCATTAACTCGTCCCAGTCCATGACACATTCTCTAAATTCACACCATTGCTTCTGCATTTGTACAGTAAAATCCTGCTGAATGTTGAGACTGGCCCAGAGTAGACCAATTTTTTGGGCTGAGCTTAGTGTAAATACATCTAGAGTTTTAAACATTCTATTACTTATTTAGATGACTTGAATAACCATGGGACTTTGCTAAACTATCCCTTTCTTACCTTTTTTCCTCCTTTCATATTTTATATTGTATACTATAAATGCACATAATAATGGAATTTATTGTTAAATATGTGTACATGCTCATAATATAACAATATAACTTGGCCAATATCATTCCCCAGTATTTTCCCTTTCCGTTTCTTCCTCTGCCCCAGCRCTTTCCTTACTGGTCTCCCTTTAGTTTTTATGAGTCCCCTCCCCTTTTCTTTTCCTTTTCCACCTCTAGTTTCCAAATATGAGTGGAAACATATGACCCTTGATTTTTYGGAGTTTGTTTTATTTTGCTTAACATGATATTCTCAAGTTCCATCCATTTTCCTGCAAATGATATAATTTATTCTTCTTTATGGCTGAACAAAACTCCACTGTGTATCTACACCACATTTTCTTTATCCATTCATCCATTGATGGATACCTAGGCTAGTTCCACAGTTTGACTATTTTGAATTGGGCTGCTATAAACATGGGGATGCATGTATCACTGTCGTAGATGACTTTATTTCTTTAGGATAAATACTGAGGAGAGGTACAGCTAGATCATATGGTGGTTCCACTCCTAGTCTTTAGAGGAACCTCCACATTGATTTCCATAATGGCTGTACTAATTTACAGTCCCACCAACAGTGCAAAAGTGTTCCTTTTTCTCCATATCCTCTCCAGTATTTATTATGTTTGTATTCTTGCCGGCTGCCCATTCTGATTGACATGAGATGTCTTTCTTATCTATTCAACTCTCCTTCATTTTTTCCCCCTTCTTTTTAGGTTAGAAAACGTAGTGGTCAAAATCTTTTAGCAATGAAAGAGGTCAATTTACATAACCCGGCATTTGGAAAGGATAAAAAAGATAGAGACAGCAGCGTAAAGAATATTGTTTCTGAATTAACAATAATTAAAGAGCAGGTAAATGTTTTTCTTGTTTCTGAAGATGTTTTCCTTAAATCAGTATCATTGAAATAGAGTTCTTGTGCTATTCTCCTCTGTGCTGCTCATGAACTTGGTCTGTGATACAATGAACCAGGAGGCAGTGATGTTGTCACCAACTTTTCTCCTAAGGCTTGACACCCAACCATAGAAACACTTTCTGGAGTTTACATCAGGATGCAAAACAACTGGGCCTATTGCACAAAGGCTGTCACATGGGAGAGAAATCCTTCTCTCTTTGTTATAAGCATAGCCAGTCCCGCTCATTCAATCGTGGAGCATTTGGTGACCTAGTTGCACACATAGGAATATGACCAAGAGTTCCCTGTCAAGTTATTGTCAAGTCAAATAATTTTGCTTATTCAATCTAAAATGTGAATTTTTAGGATGGGTTATTTGTTTATTTATTGGCATGAACAGAATAATCTGATGTAATTTAATAGCTCAATTAACTATCACTATGGAAGTTTGGGAAGAAAGAATAAACCTGTTAGAAGAGAAATGGGATTTCTTTTTGTGATGCAAGGAGACATGTGTTTCTTTTTCAGACTCCTTATTTGCACATTCATTACAGACACTGCATTTGTAACTCCTTTGGAGAGTTACCAGCTCCTCTGCTCTTTATTCTGTGTTGTATTTGTGTAGCGTCTGCTCTGGAACATAAAGAATATCATAAATATGGTCTTTAGTCATTGAAATCTGCATTTTACATCAAGTTGTAAATTAGAGTAAGTTTTATCATTAATAGCATATTTTATAGTTGAATTTTATATGGTAATAGATTAGAACTAAAAAGTTAACGATTTTCTCAGAATTAGGATAATCTAGCCTTCCACGGTGTGTTATTTTATTGTAGCACAAGGCTAGAACATGGCTTTTGACCTAAGCAGATATAATATCTTCATTCGATGCAAATCTAGACAGAATCCTTTCCAATGAGTTAGAGCCAAAGTATAGTTCTGGTTGTGTGCCTGGTCCCACATTGTTTAAAAGCCGCTGGCTACTTGCTAGCTGATACAACAGATGATTTATTTTAGCACATTTTCTAAGCAAGAAAGCATTGGGAAGGATCTGCATGGACTTCAAGGTCTCTCAAAATTGTACAGTAGCCTTCTCACTAGAGGATCAAACCAGTGGAAAGGGTAACAGTCTTGAGCTCTTAAAGGAGGAGGCAATGACAGAAAGAAGCAGCAGAAATGGGACTGAAATAGGAGACTGTATCTGTTAAGATGAAGATTAAACTCCAGTAACTCAGAGGCTCCAAAATCCAGGAGATTAAGAAGAAGAGGACTCAAAATACAATGGATTTTTCCTCTTTCATGTGACAGCCCAAAGTGAATAGACCATGTTGTTAATATTCTCTGCTTCGTGCAGTCACCTGGGGACTCTGCAGCGTCTGGGGTATGGTCTTCACCTGCGTGGTTGAAGCAGCCATAGGTGTGCCCAAGGTGGGGTAGAGGAAGAGCATGGAGCTCAGACACAGGGCACACAGGTTTCCTTACACTCACTAGTGAGAACTGAGTGATAGGCTAACTGGGGTTGCAGGAGAGGCTGAGAGACACTGTTGACTGGGAAGCCATGTCCAGCTGCAACTCAGTTGCAGTGGAGTGGGGCGGTAGGTTGATGGTGGACAGTTAGCAGTCTCACCCTCAAAAGGGCATGCAGGAAGGACAGAAAGAGGTGCAAACCATTYTCATATATTTGGAACCCTTCTGAGAGAAGACAACTTTCTATTTACCTGGAAACACATTTCAAATAAAAAGACTGCAAAATTTTTAGTACTCTCATAGAAAATGGTCTTTCATTTAATTTTTAAAAAGTAGAATTTCCATTCACACTCTTCAGCCAACTCACTTCAAGGAGAAATTGTATAGACCACTTTTTTAGAAAGAATAAGGATGAATTTATTCAGTCCTACTGTAATAGTGGTCAAACAATCACAATGGAGGACACAGACTGAAGCCAATTCTGACTTTAACAAGGACAGTTRGGGATTACAGCCAACCAGCAGGTGAGGAGGTCAGTGGATAGAAAATGACGAAAAGGAACTTGGCATTTAAGGGTGTCAAGGGCAGGGGATTGGGTACATGATTGAATATCCAGGGCAGAGGGATTCTTGATAAACTGGCTTAGCAGGGTTCTTGCTAAAACAGAGCAGGGCCTAGGCAGGAAGAGAGTTCAAAGGAGCCTGACTCTAGTTTGATTAAGGATCGAGATTTGCAAACTATTATTATGATTTAAACTCAGGTCACTTAGGTTATTTCATACTAGTCATCTTAAAGAACATAGAAAGAAACAGTTCAAGTACACACAATCAATGTATACAAATACTTGGGTAGTGGATAAAGGTAAAGAGCAATATATATTCAACATAAATGTCTTTATTTCAATTTTTCTCTTTTATGCAGTCTGTGTGTGGTGTTGGTGCAGGGAGTACAGAGTGAATTTTAAGTTTCCTTCTCGTTTTTTTAATTCTTTCTTTCAGTTAAGTTAGGTAATAAAGCAGCTCTCAGTTTTGTTCRTAGAGCTATACAGGAGATTGATATTTTCAGATTAATTTTGTATGTAACAAATTTTAGAAGACCTTGAAAATCTCAAGTGGCATCTTTAAATGCTTAGTTTTATAAATAAATATAAATATAATAATTTCTTTGTGAAATAAAACTAAATAGTCTAAAGAAAAGTTTGTGTTCTAAAGTGGTATAATAAATGTTTTGTTATTTATTTTCTTATAGCTTTATCATCCCAATATTGTACGTTATTACAAAACATTTCTGGAAAGTAAGTATGAGTTTTTGTGGTATTTCAACTTAAAGAAACGTCTTTGTTAATTATACATTTTTATATTGGAATGTCACAAAATAAACTCTCTCAACCATTTTCTTTACTTTATTGCCATTAATATGACAGTGGATGCATAATGGATGACCTGATGATAGCTATTAAAAAACGTAGTTCCCTTCAGGGAAAGGTACTACATTAACAAGCCAAAATGATCATTACTGCCATTTTTATACCCAAAAAAGCACTTAAGTATCAGATGAAAAGAAAACTAAGGGATGGTGATTATGTAAAATCAATAGCAGTTTGTGTATGAATCAGATGACATTTTCCACCCCCCAAATAAATGGGAGTGGAAATTGATTGGAGTGATTTCTTTTGCATGAAGTTCAAGTAAGTTCCACCAGGTGGCGATGGAGCATTGGCGATTCCACAGGCAGCCAGGCTCTGCAAGTAGAAGGGCACAAATCCTAAGTCCCTCACTTGTTTTATTATAAATAAGACTACTGGCTGAAATAATAGAAGTATTCATGAAACTTAATGATCTGTGACACATATAAAATTTCAAGATAAATATCCACTTGAAGAAAGATTCAAAGAAGTCCAAGGCAACATTTTTTTTTAGGCTTTCTCACCATCTCTTTATCAATGTTATTGTTATTTAAGAAAATAACGTCTTTTGTGTACTTTGGCATTTGTTATGAATTTAACTATCTTCCTCACTGAGATTACTCAGAAGAGCTCAGTGCTGAAACCTCTGCCTCCTTCTTAGCCATTAGTTCTTGTTTCTTTTTTTTTTTTTTAAGTACCCAGGATTGAACCCCAGGAAGCTCAGCCACTGAGCCAAATCCCCAGTCCTTTTTTATATTTTATTTAGGGACAGGGCCTCACTAATTTGCTTAGTGCCTCACTAAGTTGCTGAGGCTGGCTTTGAACTCCTGATCCTCCTGCCTCTGCCTCCTGAGCTGCTGGGATTATAGGCATGTGCCATTGTGCCTGGCGCCATTAGTTCTTGATATTGGAGTAAATGCCCATAATTTAGCACATACTCGCTCAAAAAGAGATGGAGGTTGGCTTCTGCTTTGTACTAAACTGACACAACTTGTCTTATTATAAAAAGAAAATAAAACTCTTTTACAACTGGCAACTTCCAGAATGAATCAGAGGTAACTTAAAATACATAATACATGCAACAGATTAGGAAATTACCATAAAGGGAAATATGAGGTGAGAGCATGAAAAATAAAACTAGAAGTAGGGGGTGCTGGGGTTGTGGCTCACTAGTAGAGTACTTGCCTGGCATATGTAAGGCACTGGGTTCGATCCTCAGTAAGACATAAAAATAAATAAAATAAAGATATTGTGTCCATTTACAACTAAAAGTATTTAAAAAAAAMMA